TACAAAGCCTCTACGTAGACGATTATAGAATGGGTAAAATAGCTCGTAAAAGATATTCGTTTAGTTTGTAGGGCAAGAACAACAAACATTTTTAGTTGAAGTGAATTCCATATACTCATTAGTTAAAATCCAGCTATTGCATTAGATTCCTATCTTTCACATCAATGCATTGATCAGTTATTTAGCACTATCTTATAATTTAGTCATTCTTGACTGAGGTGAAATCGTGTTATCATTGAAATGATACGTTACTGTAATAGTCATCCCGACTAGTGTCGCTGCCATGACCAAATACTTTTGTTTTGCCTTATCCACAGTTTTTTCATCATTTTCTATTTCGGTTCCAGCACAACTATCATGACAGTAACCAATCCAACACCTAAAACACAGCACAGTAGATCGTTTCATACTTCGGTATCTCGTGCATATGCTTCTGTTCCTCATGCCAAGTTATCTGTTCATTACGGTTATGAGGTAAATCAAAGTTATTTTTCGCCTGGGTTTTTGATATTTGCTTTTATTATTTACATTTTAAATTCAATTCAATTTATAACTTTTGGGTAAAAGCCGTATCAAATTCGTTCAGAATGCATTTGACTGATCTTGTAGATAAATAAAAAAGTGCGCATACCAAATCTCTATTTATTTATTTATTTATTTGAACACAAACATTGGTACAAAGGAGCACCAAATACATATGCGCCACACAATAAAGGTGAGGCCAGTAATGATTGTCATTGACTTGTGTAAGGGCTGTGATACTGCCCGGGTGCTCAAACCGAAGCAGGTGGTTTCCTTAGGGGGCTGCACCCGGAGCCTTTGATCTAAAAGTCTAGTCTACAGGGCAGTAAAGCAACGTTAGGTGTGGTCCTATAGTAGCCGGTGACCAATAAGTTCATACACCATTTGTTCCCTCAGTATCCTGGAGCCCATATACCCTACTGGTTTGGAATGAGGGTTTTCTAACTTCCCTAGGTGAACCCTTCGTGTCCATCAACCCGGTTAAGGCACCGCATGTTCTCTTTTCGTCCTCTCAATTTACTAAGCAACACCCGTCATTTCTCTGGAAGTGGCTGTATATGCGTGGTCATGTGAGAGCATTTCGAGAGGGTGAACGGACTCTCCAACATCGGCCATATCAGGGCATTTTGGAGGATAATTAGATGGTTTTCGCTTCACGTGAGTTAAATTGAAAACAGCAGAAATGGCCCAAAAAGTGACTTTGTTGAATCTCACTAAAATAATTTCATTCATTTGCCCGTAAACGTTTACTATACGTTTATTGTTTTGAGTCCAGAGACTCAAAAGAATTATTATTTAGCTAGCGATTTACCTTCACAGAATTATTGTACTTGTTCAGTCAACATCAATTGTGGCATCTTTTAAAAGGAGTTTTATTTCCTAAACAAGTTTTTGAACAAATTAACCAATATTAAAATGTACACTTATAAAATTTCCAGGTAACTTGTATTTATTTACCACGAGTTCTGTATTTTCAAACCGTCTATGGTACTTCATGCGCGGTCAAATCCCCAAACAGTGTTTTATTAAAATTCTGGTTAAGTGGGTTTTTTCCCTACCGTTTAGTTTTCTCAGGTACCACTTGTTGATAATTAAGACAATAGAGCTAAGATATATGAGCTACCAAGTGTATATCAATTCCACTAGCAATGATAAAGCACATTGTATCCTGAGTTTACCTGTTGTTCATTTTTAACTTTGTTTACTTACCATTTCATAAATCAATATTCTTAACTCACTATGTTATATATTATTATAACCATTATCATTTAGCGCGATCTATGCATATATAGGCGATTCCAGAACTTGGTAATATATGGTAACAAATAATTGACATTTCTTTTTATTATCATTAGCTGATTGAATCATATGTTAAGGTAATGATATTTACTACAATACAAAAATGTAATCACTGTTGTTAAAATGAAATATATATTCCCTAGTGAGCGTTGCCAATAATATATATGAAGTATAATTTAAGACTACAGTTGGCAACTCATTGGTTATGTCGGTATCATCAACAAAGTTTGAATTAATAATTTCAAATAAATTGAGCATTGGGTAGATTGTTATAAACAAAAATAGTATATTTTTAATATCCCAATGAGTAGAAAATTTAAATTATCTGACGTTTCGTGACTCAGTGTAAGCCACTCCATTGGTTACGCATTCCCAGGTGATAAACCGGTGCTTTAGAGAGCCGATAGCTATTTTAACTTTAAAGCTTGGTATGCGTTGTCGCTATCAGTCAATGAGCAACAATCTAGAACTTCGTGCGTACGTACATCAGTTCGAGTTGCCATACCACATTAGCACAGAGATACAATTGTCGATTCATATTCCATAGTGGTAGAGGTAGTAAAAGTATAAGCAGTAATCGGAAAGATTAGGGTTTGAAGATGTTATTCAAGGAGTATAATCCAGTGAAATAGATTTGGAAAGAGAAAAAAAGGGACAAAGAAAACCAATCAATCAGTCTTTTGATTAATCAGACAAGAAGTAAGAATCGAATACCAAGCTGTCTAATTATTTTAGGGAATTAGGAAGCTACTTTATTAGAATAACTGGTATTGATTATAGAATATAACGCATCTTATGTCTCATTAATTTTAGCTAGAAACATTTTAGTTCCCCACAGGATTTAAGGTAATTCACGTATTGATATTTTTCATCGTGAAACTCTTCTTCATCACCACTATTCTAACACTAACACTATGCGAAGAGTTTGATTTGAATTAATGATTTTCTCTGTATTCTCACCATATATTTTAATTACATCAGTGAAGTTGTTGCATCACATCTAATTATCATTGTAAGTACAGTGATAGTTAAGTTTTTATCTCTCATGTATACCTGCATCATTTAGTGTTTTATACATCTCAACCTTGACGAAGGAGAGATCAATATTAAATTGACGTTCAAAGTGGCATGAGTTTGGAATACGAGAGTGTAAAGGAAGTTGATATTACACACAACTGTCAATGTTAAACAGGCTAAATAAAAAATGAATAATATTGTCTGTTAAGTTCATATTATTCTTATTGACTTGGTAACCAAGTCCAAACATGTTGTATTTGTCAAAGTTTTTTTAAAATTTGTGCATATTAGGGTAGATTACAAAACTTCATTTAAATGAAACAGTTGTTAGCTGTACTAAAGTACAATTTCTTACGTACATTTTGATGTCAGCATGTATACAAGAAAATTCAGTTTGATCGGGTGATCAAGTATACGTTCTGGTAGCAATATTTGAAAAAAAAACATGTGTTAAAGCTCGAGATTTTACACCACTATCAAAACTGGACTAGGGTATGGAATTTCTATTGTATAATCCTACTTTATTCATTAAGTCATGAGTTAGAAATTTACTTTCGATTTGTCTGACTAAGTATATCTCGAGCTTTGGTATAATATTTGTTGCTTAAAAACATGTATTTTAATCTGTTTCTGTTTGTTAATTCTCATCAAATTACATCCATTCATTTCATTGTAATGACTAAAATTAAGCTTAGTTGTGACAGTAGTAAATTGAAGTGAACTTAGAAAAGGGATTAATTACCACGTGTCTGTATTCAGCTAGTAAACCGTCAAAGTATCAACAACTCAGGTTTACACACATTAAATCCAACTACAGGTCAGTAGCCCGACTGTTGCTACTACCTTGACGTGGTGATCGGGCTTGCCTATCGTGATGAACCAATCGGGCTATACTGTCTGGAACATTCGTTCTTCAAGGTCCTACCATGCCAGGCAGGTCGACTGAAGAATGGTAAGAATAAAAGCAGCAAACCTAAGGTCAGAGGGCGATGTTGTGCTGCACCCTGTGTCGAGTCGGCCAGTAGGCCACCTCTGGTTGGAGTCTACGTGATCATCGTAACCAATGGTTGAAGACACTGTGTGGCATGGCTCATAGTCGATCACAATGGCGTAGGTGTATATACTCTTTGTCTTCCGTTAAACCATGAGATTAAAATTACTTTATACCTTTCTTTCTACGAACTAATTCTTTCTTCCTGTATCATATCCATGTATGAAACCGTTCTTTTACATATTACTACTTTTGAAGTAAATACTTTAATGAATCTGGTGTTCATTTTGTTGTGCTGATGAGGTATGTCAACTTGGACCGACGTATATGTGCTTGGTCCTACGTTGTAGCTGACTGACTGACAAGTCAGTTTTTCTTTTTTAAGATAACAAAGTTATTTATCATACTCTTATAAACTACTCGAAACTAGAATTGGAAAAAAACTTTGTAAAATCTTATCTATCCCTTTCTTATTTCATGAACTTTAATTAACTAGCTATTTGTTGCAGTTAGCTATGTCATCCATTGGTTTATTTGGGCATATAAATGTAAGATGTGTGCTGTACAAATTATCATCTAATCTGTTTCAACTACACTTCTGTAGGATTTTATCTGTTGTGTTTAGACGACTGAATCTCCATTAACTAGCCCAATTAGTTTCTGTCAAGTTATCACATGGCTAACACTAGTGTATAACAACCAAATTCATAAGATTTCGTATGCCTTTTCTAACACAATATATCCACTTGTTTAGGAAAATCTATTGCAGTAGGTTATTATTTATACATAAGACCTTGAAAATATTTATAATTCTCATGTTATGTTTTAATACAGTTGTAATGATGACTGTACTAATCACATTTTCAGTAATAAAGTTGGATTATTACTTTAAGTTAGCCAATGATTCAATTGGAGTATAGTTGATTGTTACTGTAATGAACTGATGCACACATACACTAGTGCCTAAATTTATGTGCACATTCTATATACCTACCTCTTATAATACACTATACATTGTTCAATAATTTTAAGGCTAAATGAATATAAACGCAATCATTTTTATCCGACTCTGATACGATAATAACATCAATATCAGACTATACAATTAAATTTATTATAGGTCACATAAATACATAAATGACTACAAATGTGTTATTATTTAGACGGTATGCCAAAACTCAATATGTGTGCAGTCTGTACACTTCTGTTATGTATATACATTCATCCATTCTGTGTATAAATATGATAATAGTAAAGTCTCTACTATTATTTTTCATGTCTAAAAGTAACTTCAATAACAAAGATTATCAAATATATCTGTGACTATACTTATGAATATCATTTATTGTCTGGTTCATAATAGAAGAAAAAGTATTATACTCATTTATAATTATGTGTGAATTCTGATGCCAGTGAAATGAACATCAAAATACTTAACCACAGGATCATCATGAACTGGAGTGAAATTAAATATTTCTCAATCTATTCGATAAATTTGATGTAAACTTATAATGCTTACATGCATGTTACTTTTGATGAGTACTTAACTTCGTTTAGTCTTATTTTCTGAAAGTCTTTGAAATGTTATCATCGTAGATATCTATGCTCAAAACTATCGCTTTTACGGCTTTAATTCTTCATATATTACACTTGACTGAAAATTCCATTTGATGCAATCTCAAAAAATAATGTAAATTTATTTGAATATGTTAAATGTCTCTAAAAAACAAACAAACTTGGATAGTAATTCTTCTAAATATGGAATTTTACAGTGAAATTTTAACATCATTATATAAACAGTTGTAAGACAAATTATTGTTAGTTTCTATTATTATTTCCAATAATCCTTCTAGCCAACTAATACTTTACAATCATCCCCTCAAACGGAGTCGGTTACTAGTACAAATGGACATAGTTTGAATAAATTAATGGAAGATTATAAACCAATCACTTCGCATTCAGTATTATCATCTTCGTCATCACCCGTTTCTGATTTTGTCGGTGCTGATGTTGCTCCTGGCAGCGGCAATTCTACTTGCCATGATGATACTGCCAATCCTATCGATTCTGAATTGACAGCCTTTAAAATGCAACAATTACAACATGATGTAATGCAACTTGAAACTGCAATAAAGGACAACTTAAATGAACAGAAGGGTATGTTTTTTACTTCAAAGAAAATTCATTTCTCATAATAGTATAGAGCTTTTTGTGTTTAGAATGCATGATTTCCTAAATGTCACTTTTTCGTTTCCTTTAAAGATTGTTTATATTTTGTCACTCATGCTGTCAAATTTTGGACTTTCATTTAGTGTAGTTCGGTTCTCCATTATCAGTTTAGTTCCTAATTAAAGCCATGAAACTAGTGGTCAGTATTTAAATCACTTGACTGTCATATCCTGATCACAGATTCGAACTGTACTTTGCCTACCGTGATTAGAAGCGACAGGTTCTGTTACTAGCTTACTAAAGTTACGCTTAGAATTTTATATCATCAGTCTAGAATGATCTTCTTTTATACAAATTTCAACCAATTTATCATATATCGTTACTGGTTTATGGTGTCATTGATGAGGATTTTACCTTGTTCTTGAACTGGTTGTCACCTAATATAGGTAGGTATACAGTGACGCTTCGTCCTATCAGCTTACATTTAAATTAGTGAAGCATTGATTCATGTCATAGATTTTGTTTGTATATGTATGTGTGTAGGGTAAACATACCACTTGATTCTGTAATTTAATACCTATGAAAGAGGGAGGTTTTTAAATCTACAGCTCAGTATTTGGGAATTCAGTGTTCAAGCCACAGAATCGTAGCTCCAACTATGCAATTTGATTTGTTTGTTAGTCATTTGTAGAACTTTCCAAAGCATTTCGTTTATGAAAAATGAATATTACTTGATATGTCAACGATCGAAATTAGTTCCGACGTTTCACTTGGCAATCTTCTCTGAGCTTGTTCGGGGAAATATTCAAAATAAACAGCAACTAAAACAAGCGGTAGTAGAGACGTATGGTATGTCATATGGTTTCCAAATCAACTGAACCCATGGTTTTAGCGTCAGTTCCAGTTTTAGTGACCTATACCCCTCTTCCACTATTCCATTTACCCTGGTAGATTGAAGTGATTAGTACTTGGGGCTTATATGACTTATTCTTTTAAATATTATAAACAGTCACATTGTTATTGCCAAAATATTTCTATAAATCTTTCTGTTTTTTCTTTGTTTCAAATGTAAGTTGGTACATTAAGTACATCATCCACTTTATTGTGTTTATAGTTGAAATAATAGCATTAAATAACTATTGTTTTAAATAACCTAGAATTGATTATTTGAACACATGTATTTTACAAACTAATTAAGCGAAATGTGTTTAAACAGCTTTTTTGTATCGAAATTCACTGTAATGGGTTACTCTTTCTTTTTTTTTTGCTATAATAAAACTTTGAGAATCCAAATTACTTTGGAGTTTACATTGTGTATATTTTCTTTCCTTCTATTTTCGTTTACTTCTTTGTCTGTTATTATTATTGCGAAAGTTTCACATGCTATATGTACATGGACTTTTAAACTAGGTTAACATTTTTAGGTAATCAATTAAACATGTGAATGATATATATATACATAATATTTGGTAATTTTAAAGGCCATTATAATCATGGCTATTTAAAATAATATTATAATGAATGTAAGTTGCTATTTGGTCGATGGTAATCAATTGTCATCAGAAAGTGTTATGATCATGTATCCAAGGTATTAAAGAAAATATACTGATCAGCATTTATTTGCATATGGACAATTAACCTGGTGTTTAGCACATTGACCTTTCGAAAATGCCGTTGATTTTGAATCGTCTTCACTTATTACGGGTTTTTCTTAATGTATAGTTGTACTTTTATTTGATGAATTTATAACTAACAGTTAGAAGATTAAGAAATTAGTATATTTTCATGTAATGTGGTAGGTTGCTTGGCCTATACGTTCATTTTTTTCTAAAAAAAACTAGTTCCGCGTTGGAATTTGATTTTACATATTCTCTTAAGGATTATGTTTCTGTACTACTCACAATTTAATGAAAAAAGCATGTTTATTTTCACGAAATTGCTTGTCATCCAACATTTTTCTAGTATATATTCACCAAGCATTTGTTCGTCTACGAGAGGTCTAGCGGAGAACCATATGACTTTTTCAACAAACAGATATCCTTATCATGACGCTTGATGCATATGCTTTGGCCCAAGTTGCCACACTACATTAGCACTACAAAATTAATTATGATTGAAATTGATATGATGTAGGTAGTAACAATGACAATGAGATTAAACATTGAGAATATGGTTCTGTAAGGCAAAGTGGATGAAGGTATGTATGAAGGAATACTGGAGTTTAAGATCGTTAAGAAGATGGCGAGTGAGTGGTTTTGTGCTATTGTGAACTATTCTGATCTATCTAAGTCTAGGTGTTCAACTACTGATGCCAGTTATCACACGTACCTCAATTAGGTTGTCTACATCTATCACTGTAGCGCAAACCAACGATTACTTGTCGCCTATGGAAACTTTGTTATTTTACTTACTGATGTCTTTTTTAAAAAAAAACAAATTTAATTGTACAGAAGGAAAATGACTAAGATCAGTAAGCGGAATGCCAATTTCAGTTTACGCTCTAGTTTCAGTGAATGCAAAATGTATGTTTCCCATCATGTATAATTTTAAGATGAGTATTCTCCGCACTGGTATTACTTCAATACAATACTTTCAGTAAAACTTTATTTATATTTTTCCGTATTGATTTTAATTAATAAAAGTAATTTTTCTTCACAATTACTTATACATATCGAGTTTTCAATCAGTTATTTGCACTTGTTCATTCATTCTTTGAAAAAGCCATCCTGTTTATTTTATTAGTTTATTAAAATTTGTCTTTCTAATTCCTTGACTGTGTAGTTTCCGAAGTTGTTATAATTGTTGCGAATATTTATCTTCATTAATTGATTTAAATTAATATATTAAAATATTACCGCATCAATTATCTTCCAATGTTCAATTTAAGCGTGACGTACATATTGGACATGAGTTTTTGCATAACTTGTATGTGTGAATAACCAACATGACTAAACAATACTACGTTTATTTACCAATATTAAATGATGAACACTTCATCCTATTTATTAATAAAAGTATTCTCATTGCATACAATTTTTGAAAAAATATGTCTTTGTTTTCTAGTTTTTTCTAGTTAGTTTCAAAATGATAGCTTTATATAGTTGAGTAGATTCCATTACCATTTAACATATAAAGACAAGCCAGTTTAGTAATCACCTAGAGGTGAATACATTAGGTTATAAGTTGTAGTTGTTATGTGAAGGTAAGACAAAAATTCAAATACGCTACCCAAAAATATGGTCAGTTTTAATAAGTAAAAACACCTGAACTTACAGTTTTACAACTCCCAACTATCATGAAAAGGAAGATAATGGAGATTAGTTCAGTTCAATGTCAATTCCTGCTACATACTCTTATCAGCTAGTAAACAAATGGGAAAAGCTGCTTTGTCATGATTAGTGACTTCTCAACAGCACCCACCCTATCAAAGTTACTCAATCAAAATCGTTTTGCGTACATGTAGTTGATTGAATGCTTTTATATTTGAACCTCGTCACACCTACTTCATTTCAAGTAACAATGCCAAAAGACAATCTAATTCATAAGCTTAGACTTACTGAATTTTTATTCCTATTGATATTTTGATTTCATAATGTATTATTCTTTTTTTCAGAATTGAATGATCGATTATTTGAACAATTAGCTGAAGTATCGAAACCTGAAATTAGTAAAAATAAATCATCTTCCTCCTTATTGTCATTGTCACCGATATCAAATGATCAATCTGCCTTTCGTGAAAGTGAAATTAAACGTATTTATAGTGAGAAGTTGAAAACACTTAAAAAACAATTAAAAGCATTAAATGAACAATTACAAACAACACGTTATGTTATTTCAAAATCCACAACATGTAAGTTGTTTGATACTAATATGTGGAAATTATAAGTTAATCAAAAAACATAGTGTACAGTTGAGGGTAATAAAATAGTTTGCAGATTTTATTGAATATTCCGAATTCTTTTGCTTTATTAACTGTTTATGATGTAATTGAACACAAAGGAATCCCCCCTTTTTTCATATCCAGTAATATAAATCAGTTTAATACTTTTTCGATTGTACTCATGATACAGCTCTAAGCACACTAACTGAAGATTAGTGTTCTTAGTTTCAGTCATCAATAAGTTACAACACTTCGTTGTTAATCACTCATTTTAGGTTTTAAAAGCTATGATTTCATAATAATGCAATTTGAAACAGTTGTTACTCAGTTAAAAATTAGTGATTGAACTGAGTCATCTTTTGCCACATAAATCACATGTAACCCAGTTATTTAAAGCTATGGTATTCGTTTATTTGTAACAAGTTTTGCATTGATAAAATCCCCATCATCAACAGATCAGAACAACTTGTTTTTTTGTAGATGTCTAACGCGATCGTGTATACTAAGAAGTCTGTAAGTTAGCATTAACTATTTCTTACTAGTTACTCCTTACCTTTTTAAACTAGTTCGTCAACTGGCGTATTACAGTCCTTAATAGAAATCTATTTTACAAACTTCCTGATTTGATTTAAACCCTATTTAAATGACAAAGACTAGTGATAAAAAAAACAAGTTCACTTGCATACAAGTTTATATTTTTGTAAATGTTCCAAATTAAAAATAATGTTGATAAATGTTCAGTTGGCTGATGTGTATGATTTGTTTATTGTTTATCTATTTTTAAGTGAGATGTGACAAATTCTATTGTTTTGACGGTATACATGTAATATAAGATGAGAAAAAAATCTGTTTATCAAGTTTTTGGAAAAAATAAACAATGGAAATGTTTTTGTCTAATAACTTTATGCTGTTTAATCAAACGACTAAGAGTGTTTTTTAAGTTTCGTATCTGTATCGAAATACGCTTGGGCTTGGAGCACACGCCACTGTCATATTATGTACTGATTTAAAATAAATTTGAACTTAATTTTATCACATACGTGAACAAAACTACTATCTGGACGATTGGTTGATTGATTGACCTGAGCGTCCAATGTTGTCGAAAGTAGTTATGAGGTCAGATCGGAAACCAGAATTAGTTTATCATTACTGCATACATAACCAATGTAAATTAATGACGAAAAATATTGCGAATTAGATTATTTGGTATTACAACTTACTTTGATAATTTTAATTGGTAATATTTATTTTATTTTAGCTCTTCCTTCTACATCTACGGTCACTAGTCATCAACAGTTACCTTGTGATGGCAGTATTACCAGTGATTACACTAATCAAATGTCAGCACCATTTGATGCTTACCACAGTCATGAATTAGCAAAAAGATTACCGGCACATATATCGGATCCAAACGTTGATTTGTGTAAAACACCTGCAAGACAATCGAATACTCTGCCGGTTAAATGTATTCATGATTCTAAGACAACCGGTAATTGAATAAGAAAAAGAGAATTCAGCGACGAAAATTTTCTTTTCGACGAAATCATTTACTTAAGCTGTACATTCGTATATATAGTTATATGGAAAATGTATGTCTATAGAAGGATAGAATGGATAGTATCACAAAAATGGATTCGACAATAAATATCAAATGACGTTAACATACTAATCAATGGATAAGGAAGAACAAAATTTAACGGTCAGATAATAGTCCAATTGACAGATATGAAGAAAAACGACAAAACAACAAAGGTCATAATAATAGACTGAATTATAATCAAGAAATCTTGCAAAACGTAATAATAGAAAATGATTAGAGTTTAAAGTGCAAAATAGTAATTTAGAATATAGATAATAATAAAAGTGCATTTTAAAAAAACACCTAGAAACATACCCATTAAGGGAATTAGGGCCGGGGAAGGATGAGAGGTTGGACAAATCGTTTCTGCACGCAAAGTTCAGGCTTTAGTTTGTGGATTGCCAATGCCTCTGCGGTGCATAAAATATTGATTCGAACCCCCCTTCGATCCAGTCCCGTTGACTCTGTAAACTATTTTAAACGAAGAGTCTTTTGGAGCGATATGTCCACAGTTGATTAAGTGCTCCTGTATAGAACTCGTGATTGTTTTTCGCTCTCCTTTCAAGAGCCCAGCCGGATAATGTTCCGAGATGAGTTTGGATAATGATCGCTTTGTGCGGCCTATGTAACATGCCCCACATGAGCAAGTAAATTTATAGATACACATTGAAATGGCCCAAAGCGAAAGTTTGTTCTTAACACACCCCAGAATGGTAGGTGGGCTAGAGAAGATGATTCGAAGCTTAGCTGCGTGGAATGTTTTATTCAATGATTTCAAAATCCGTTTATTTAGGATTTCAGCAGCCGTATCTCCCTTAAATTCCATATTCATAAATAGAGTTTTTTTCTCTACTGTCAATGCTTTGTCATGAGGTCTAGGTACCAAATTTCTATCGATGAATCTCGGTGGATAACCATTTTTGATGAGGGTCTTTCGAAGATAAATTAGTTCCCCATCTATTATGTCACTGGAATAAATTCGCCTGATCCTTGAGGATAAAGAATGATTTAAGTTTCTTTTTCTAATTAATGGAACCCAACTGTGGAAGTTCGTGTATTGTCCATTCCAAGTGGGTTTTCTGTATATCGATCTCTGTAATAAACAGTCAGGCATTCTTTTTAAATGGATATCAAGAAAATGAAACTCGTGGTTTGGATTGATGGGTAGCATTTATTGAAAATATTCAAAATATCATTGAGGTCACTATCTTCTTCGCAAATAATGAAAGTTTCATCCATATATCTTTTATATAAATGAAATCTTTCAATTATTGGTCGAAGTACCGAATTTTCTAGGTTCGCCATAAAACAATCAGCCAGGAGAGGACCCAATGGAGAGCCCATTGCAACTCCATCTATTTGTTTATAGAAAACATCATTAAATCTAAATTGCACGTTGAGCGTACATCGTAGAAGTAGTTCTTTAAGGTAATGTTTCGGGATACGCATATCAAGATTGTTTTCAATATAGTCACATAAAAGGCAAATGGTTTCTGTGAGGGGAACATTTGTAAAAACAGAAGTGACGTCTAATGAGAACATTTTCTTACCGGATACATTGATATTTCTAATGGAGTCGACAAAGTCAAAGGAATCAAGAGAGTTGTGTTTGTTGATATGATTTTTAACAGGTTGTAGAATGTTAACTAACCATTTAGCGATCAAGTGATAGGGAGAATTGTTCATATCCAGTATAGGACGTTGTGAGATATTATTCTTATGAACTTTTGGTAGTCCGTATAGTCTTGGTACAACAGAACCAGATGGTTTGAGGTATTCATAGAGGTCAAGACTGATAATATCCTCATCTTTCATTTTTTTCAAAATTTTAATTAGCATTTGTTCAGTTTTTTCAGTAGTGTCTTTTTGAACGTTCTCAATAGAGAATTTGACAGGATCAGATAATATTGAAGATATTTTGGTAACATAGTCAATACGATCCATAAGAACAATTCCTGCATCCTTGTCTGGACGGCATAAAACTAAATCCTGATTTCTCCGAAGGTCAGATAATTGAGATTTGTATTATTTTGTGAGTAATCGGCTAATTGTAGGTATTTTATTTACATATTGATTACAACAATCCACAAGTTGTTTTAAAATGCTCAAAATCTTTATTAGACACTGGAGTAAGGTCATTTGTCTGTCGCATGAGGCTTTCAAACTGGATTTTCGCGTTGAGTTCATTAATGTTAGTAGACGTGCTACAAAATTTAGGACCAAGGGAATTTTGATACATTGTTTAATTCAACTCAATTTCCTACCAGTGGTCAATACCTCTGTACTTTCAATATGAAGCTTATTCAGTCATCTAGATCATCGCTAGCTGCGTCAATATCGCATAAACATAAAACAACCAAACCAATTATGTCAACCAGGATACTTACACTGAGTAAACCAATGCTCACTTCACATCCTACAGCACCGCATTTATATCTTTATTTGTTTCATAGCGATCCTGTTTGTGATGATGTGTATCATGTTTCAAAAGCAGTTACCACTCCAAACACTGATGTTTTAAACTTTGTATTCACTGGTTTAGAAAAATTGGGGTTTATTGAACACTTCTATTCATTGTTTTGTCATTATGGGGATAGTTTTTAGTTTTAAAAGATACTAAATACTTCGGTTAAATTGACGTGATAGTTTAACTCTTGTGAAACACTTTTATACTGATTGATGTGTAGTATCTATCCTTTGAGATTTTCAGATAAAAATAAGTCATTGATGTTTAACGTTAATATGAGTTGTATTTAGTTATTATTTACTAAGTGTAAACAACATGCTGTTAATTCCGGTAACACATCCATCGAAACTTTCTCTCTGACAATTTGTCATTTTCATTTGTTTTGATCTGGTAAATGTTTTCTCCTTTGTTTGAAATCTGAGTATTTAGAATTATCTAATCTTGTTGAGGGTTCAGTGTTTTTTATGCTTGTTCATTAACACCATTTCTGGTTATTCATTCTAAATATATGAATAGTAACAATTTCGGAGATGACCCGTTGATTAAGGCTCTTGATTTCCAGTCACTAAGTCAAGTGCTAGGTTCGAAACCCGCTCCAACTACTTCTGTTTGGGCAAACGGGTAGTATCACTAACCCTCACATTTAAAGTGTAGCTCATAATCAGTATATGCCAAATGAATTAGTTTAAATTTTAATGACAATTTTGTGGTAGTATATCTATGGGTGAAAGTTAAAGGTTTGAATGAAGTGTTGATAGTTTTTCTTGCTTACCTTTCATCAAACTTGTATATTATCGTACAATTACTCAATTTAAGACTCCTAAGTGTACACATGTGGACATATTCCAAAGAGTGAAGAGATCAAAAGTTATGATTATGTTGTTTACTCTTGACATATCTCTTAGATTTATCATGAACGCAGAA